GCTTATATACAACCTGTTTGTACATAGGATGAGTGTCATAATTAACAACACAAAGGAGTCTTTTTAAAGAGTGGGAAAACGGGAAATCAACATTTTCATGCGGCAAAGTACACTCCTCTGTGGCCACCACCTCAGATTTACTGTAGCAGGTCACAATTAAACTTGATATATATTCCTTGTCTCTCTGGCAGCGTTTCTCCAGCTACGTCTGTGTACCTGTGTTTTTGTACTTGTAATAATTACAAAAAACACCTGGTACATCACAGTGGTTTGAGCGAGTCATTGACAGCTTTAATTTTGTTCAATATAGAGTAACATATATTGTCTACTAGACTATAATTATGTATTGCATGTACAGTATTCAAAGTCTACTAAATCTATAAAGATTTTTGTTTCTGCCATCAACGTTAGCACAGTTGCCTGCGTGGTCTCTAAAATTAAGTGCCAGCATACTGAATTGTTGTTTAAAATGGGAAAGCGGATTAAATTTCATTGGCCCTTTTTGTTACATGCTGTGAATCTCTGTAGTTAATTTGGAAAAACTCAGCTGATGCAGAAGTCCACAAAACAATACAACCCCAGCATTCCCCACTGAAACGATATGTCTAACAGAGACTAATTAGCTTTTTATTGAAACCTGTGTGAGCTGCATCGAAATATCCTTTCACTGTAACTTTTGAGAAAAATAAATGGAGTAAAAAGAAAATCCCAACCAGAGATGCACACTAATGTACTATTCCTTGCACCACTAAACATTAAGTGGCTATTTTGTCGAACATGTTCACAAGCATTCTAAAGCTGTACTTTTTTCCTTGTTCTGCTCAGTGTGAGCTAAACTATGTGTATTTAAGCTTTTGTTTTTCATCTCCATTTTTTAAATCCAACGATGCCTGACATTTCTCCTGTCTGTCTGCTATATGGTAAGTGATCAAAATGGGGCCATGGCTAATGCACAGAGTTATTGGAGGCATCACCTCCAGACTAATTACGCTGTTTATTTTGATGGATGTAGGCGAGTGATACTTATCTATCATGTTGAGGTGTAAGCAGCTACACAAATCGTTAATGAGTCCAAACACACAACATACTGTACAGTGGTGGGAATAAACTGAGGTCTATTTAAGCTTGGAGGTTATTGTATTTCATGATAAAAAATCCAAGATAGAAGGCTGCAAACAGAAATGTGGGATTACTATGCACCAAGTAAAACATTGCTCTTATTTAGAGTCAACAGCCTCAGTAGGCAGCATTTAGTTAACCTTACTGTAACTGCTGAACAGAAATCACTCCACAGCTCTGTAGCCCGATCACAAACACTCATCAACTCTCAAGCACTGAATACCTGGCAATGCTAAGGTTATTCGTGGGTAGAAAAAGAAATCATGTGCCAGAAATTGAAAGAGGGCATTTTTAATAAAATCCCTGACTATACATGAAAATTATACATACAGCGTGAGGACTTGACTAACACAAAAAGGCCCAAAACAACAAAAGACAGGTTGATAAAATGGACAACAAGCTTAAAGGTACTACACTGAATTTCTTTTCAGTCATTAGGACAGAAAAGCTGCAATAACAACAGAAGGTCTGTTAGTGACTGGTCGTCATAGGGAGGGGTGGTACAGCTGAGACACACCAGGTCCCGTCTCATTTTTACTTGATTTATCAGACATATAAAATGTTAGTTAATGCACCCTTACAGACAAACAAAGAAAAGTGTCTCTCGCTCTGAACTGCAATACTCCCAATACTCTCATTACTTTTGCATTCAAGGTACTGCCATAAAGAACTTCTCAGAACAAAAATTATCAGGATTTTAATGGGATCATTATTACTTTTTTAATCTGACTGTTTCAAATGGACTTGAAAAGCATTTTACTGACAAATCAACTGATCTGTGCTGCTCCTTGCAGGCACCATAATTAAGGATTATTTTCACCAAGTCAATAAAAGGAACTGATTTTACCCATGAGTTGCTGTAACCTGAAAGATTTGGGAAAAACATCATGAGATGACGGGTAAGGAACCTGGCAAAATAAACTGTAAAAGAAAAGATACCCTGTATAGACGTAATGTGTGATACAAAAAGGGTCAAATAAAATGAGAGAAAACTTCTTCCTTGAGGGGAAAAAAACCAACCTTTCAAACATGATGAATCAACTTCCACTAGCGGGCACAATTTATGAAGTGCATTCAAGGTTGCTTCTTTTTACCACCTCTATGCTAAATGGGTTGCCATGTCTTCTGTGCTTAATGCTACTCTGCAATTGCTCCATTAGGCTAAACACATAGGCTTACACACACTTAAGAGTAACATCCCCCCACTGTTTTGTCTCTTATTGAAAAGTTCCATTAATTTTTATTGTTTAGGGGAGAACATTTACAGTATACTTGTATCAAAGAGTATAGCTAATGAGCAGAGACTTGAGAGAAGAGTGCAGAAGTTAACTCATTATTCAGTATGGTCTTGTTTAATTTTGCTTGCTCTGACCTGTTTTCTCAAAAGTGAAAATACCCATTTAAAGTAATACGCTAACTGATGAGATGTGGTAAAGTGGCACTAGCCCTTAGTCAAAAACACATCCCACTTTGATTAAATAAACATAAAGCATATTACCAAAATAATGGCTACTTAACAACATAAGCTCATAATCATATTTACTACCCATATTTTTCATTGTTTAGTGCAGTTATATAAAATCTTGGTGAATGTGTAGTTCCAGTCTTCTTGTAACACCCTCAGTAATATCAACAAAATAATCAGTGATTTTTTTTTAAACACTTGATTAAGTCCATTAAAAAAACAACACTGATGGCTCGAAACAAACTGTTCCAAGCCCCCTGTCCCAACTCAGCAGCAAGCCTACAGGATGGCAGAACTTCTCCTGGAAAACTACAGCAACTAGCACAAATATTACAAAAGAATAAGAAAGTTTCTGGGAATATAAATGAATATTTCATGAGAAAAACTCAGTGAATACGGTTTTATACTGTACCAATTTTAATGTTTAATGCCTAACTAATCCAGATGCTCCTGCTCTTAAGTGAGATGAAACATGATGTTACATGGCTGTGTTAATAAGAAGACAAGCCTATGGTACATACATGTACACAACTCACTGCCACATGGCAACAGTAGTAACTAGGTCTGACAGCTCAGACCACAAGTCATGCTGCTCCTACAACCTCCACCAGGGATGAGAAAACAAAACAGGGAAGAAACAACTGAAAGAACAGATTCAAAACTATGTAAAATATTTGATTTTGTTCAAATGTTTCAGGGCTGTCACCAAATCTAAAATGCATTACCCAGTAACAAACCAGGAAGCAGGTATACTACATACCAGCACCAATCGTGTATGCCTCCTCATATGGTAAGAAGTGTGTTTCATGATTACTATAAAATAAAATGCCATGTGTGATGATGTGAAAGCTATGGGTTATTTCCCTAACAGGAAAATCAGAACTGTCTGCTGGTGGACATCCTTCCTTTGCCCTCTCCAGAGAACACCTGTTTGACTATCTGTCTACCTGTTTGCCATTAACATCTGATTCCATTATTCAACAGCTTGACGTTAGGGAACAAGGGTGCACTGGTGTGTAGGGCGTCTTGTGTACCTTGAGAGCAGTAGCATAGAGTTGTGTCAAGTAGATAACACGTGGATGAATAATTCAAATTGGTGTAAGCTAGCTGAGTCAGTGACAAGACAAGAAAGAAAATACAAGACGTGAATAAATCATCAGCGACGGGACTAATAGACAAGGCACAGGAGAGGACGAGGCTGATAACATCTCTTGCTTCCTCCTGCTCTAGCTTTAATCATTCCAACAACCTTGTACATGAATATTCCACACCTTGCCAGTCATACTAATGTCTGAGGTTTTTACTGTATGGTGTCTTATCATGCAGCATTACCACAAGGAATAATCACAGTGGCCCACCAGAACCTTGGGGACTCAGGTTCAACAAGGACTGCTGACTGCTATGATATGTTAGAGACTGCATTTAAACTGCTACAAAGGGAGAAACATGAGATGTGAGAAACTACACTTCTAGTTTATTCAGGTAGCGTTTGGCATTATTTCAAAATTATTTTGTATTATTTCTTCATAGAACTATATTACGACTAAATGGACACCGTAAATATATAACTATTATATTAACAGTTGTCATGGTCTATTTCATTTTACTCAATGGATTGATCATGAGGTGTAATGAGCACACTCTTTTAAAACACTAGTAAAAATACTGATATTGACATAGTGCTGCAATAATTGTAAAATATGTGTACATGTGTAAAATAACAAATCAAGAAAAGTTTGCAATAAATGAGGTATTAAAGAGAAATCCACATTCTAGTTCATTAAGCATTTGCAAGACCACCAACTATGCTTGAAACTACAACTGGAATTGGACCAAACTGAACTGTAACAAATAAGCAATCACGTCTGTCATGCAGATCTCACTATCCATTCAAGTGATCAAATATCTGTTTGTTTGCCAACAGCAGCCTTGGGGGCTGGTACAAGCATTCAAACACTTGTCCGCATCTTTGTAATGCAATTCCTTCTCAATGAGGGGACAGCCAATTCCTCACAAGCACAAATGCATGTACATACACATGCACAACACAAAAGCAGAAATGCATTCAGTTTTTTTTTTTTTTTTTTAATCATCATTTTAACCCTCCACCTCAACTGTGGAACCATGCCATTTTCCTGTCTAGCCCGACACTAAAAATGTAAGCCAAAGTGTCACAGTGATGAGTCAGAAAGCTGGGATAGGGAAATGGAAGAAAAGGTGGAGAGGAAACAGTAGAATTCACAGAAAAAACAAGGAAAAATATATTCTGCAGTAATATGTTAAATAATGCAGTATATTAACCACAAATTATGTGAAAACATCTGTCTGTTAATGACAACAAAGCTGATTCAGAATACAGGTGCAGCAGTGGGGAAGATGAATATTAAAAAGCAGGTAAAAAATGTGCACGTCTAACCTGTTCTTTGTGAACCAAAGGTGACGGCAACTCTGGTGAGCAGCTCTGGTTTTGCATATCGGTCCTCATCAGCCAGCACCCAGAAACAGCCCTCTGACATTTCTTGGGGATTAATCTAAAAAATAAAAATAAAAAAACACACCAACAGTTCAAAATATTTAATTAAATGGTTCTGTACTTCACAGATTAGAGAGGCTACAGAGGAACATGTCACTATAGTGTAAAGGAAATACATCATTCTAATGGGAATAATATTAAAGACATTAAAGCCTCAAAAATATTAATCCAAAGTTACTCCACAATAGTGCCGTTAGTTCCCAAGAAAATACAGTACATGTTACGATTGTTGACATACCAATTTGGAATTCTGTTCTTGTTAACCTGCTGCATAGTGTTGGACTTACAGTGGAGGAACTGGCACATTCTTTTCTCTTTCATGTTTAATTTTCCTCTGAATACTGTAGTTGGATAGAAAAAAAAAAAAAAAAAAAAACACACACACAAGATACCCAGATACAAGTCACCAAGTCCAGCGCTTATTTTGGCAGTTCTTCAGCAGTTACCACAGTTCAGATAATCCTGAAAAGCAGCTAGCTGACAATAATGTAGAATTCAATCTTTGTTTTTAATTCTTTATACAAAGTTAATGCCATAAAATGCCCTCTTTGGATAGCACTAAACCTGAGGCTGTATTAATTTAGTTGTAGCTGTCTGATGTCCAAAGGTATAAACTCTACAACACCACATGGCTCACAGACTAATGAACTATTCAGTCAAAATGGTCAACCAATTCAAACTGATGACACAAAATGTTAAAAAAAGAAAAAGAAAAAGAGGACGGCAGACAACACTGGTAATAAATACACTTATTAATTTAGTTCCTTAACACATTAACATGCTGTATGGTACTAGTATTACAGGGCTCCAGACTGTAACGATTTAGTTGCATTTTTTTTTATATAATTGAATTTTTTTTGCCCATTTCTCCTTTATTATGGTATATACATACAGTATATGAAAGTGAATCAGAGAGGCAGACAGGAAATGAGGGATAGATAGAAGAGGAGACCTGCAACAAAGATCCGACAACCAGACTTGAACTGCTGACATCGCACACACTGTGCTGAGCATATGGTGTGCCACACCATAACCATTTGGCTACTGAGGTACCCACTAGTCATGTTGTATAACTAGGCGCACCAGTGCGATTTGCAAATGACAGCAAGAAGAATAAACTATGCAGGAACAGATATAATGATGGAATAGCAGCACATTTACGAGCAGCATTTAGAAGGCAGGAATCATCAGTCTGCAGAAGATGCTGCAATAACAAGAAAATGACACTGCAAACCCAGAGGTGGATCAGTAGTAACACCACTGTAAAAATAGGTTACTCTGTTATTTGTAAAATTCTTGAACTCAAGAGAGAGACATACTGTAGGTGAGGGGTTTCAAACAGCCGTGTCATAAGGTGGCTCCTCCTCATGTGCTACTAAAAGGTTCACTTGAAATTTCAAGCATATGGTTTATTTTGCTGAACACCTGTTTCACTGTACATCTAACATTAAATTATTAATCAACTGCAAACTAATACCACTTGTAGTGTGAAGCCATACTGCTCTGCAGTGAACAACATCTGTAGAGGTACCACTGAGGCTGTAGCGTCAGATCATCTGTTATTTTCTGTCATTGCTGGCTTGGCATAGAAGTAGGGAGTTTTAGTTTAATTCTTAATAAAACATCTGTACCGTTCAAGTGCTGCCAGTAAACAACAGAAACAAAGCTTTTCCTTGATTTCTGGCTTATCTACAATGTTACAACGGTGAATTATCGTCTTAGACGTGACCTAAAGCTCAAAAAAATTAGGTGAACATATGTTCTAGTACTTCTATGCAAAAGCAACTCTGTTTATACACATCTCACAAACTCTTACTCATGAGACTTTTTTCCAAACAATATCAGGCCAGCGTGCCTGCTGCGTGTGATGTGATGTGGGTTAACGAGAGGATTGTAATGATTGTGTGTGGTCGTGTGGGGGAAGACACAGCGACCACCGGCTCGATTTACTTGAAAGAGAGCAAATATTTTTGGCCATGCATATTACCATGTATGAAATTGGGGATTATTATATATTATAAACCGTACCTTGCACCAGTTGAGGCGCTTCATGGAGGTCTCCAGCTTGAATTCCTTCTTAGGCCTAAGGCCATAAGGCAGTGCACGGTGAGGAGGGGAGCCTAGAGCACCCCCAAAGCCTAGAGGTGGTGGAGGGGGGGCACCAAATGGAGGAGGCACTCCAGGTGGAGGAGGTGGGGCAGGACAACCAGGTAATGGAGGCGGAGGTGGTGGAGGAGGGGGAGCTGGAACCCCAGGTGCCGAAGCTGAAGGTGGAGGTCCAGACAGGACTGCTGGGGAAGATAACACCTGTCCAGCCGGGGCTGAGGAAAGGCCCGCAGGTGCCACTCCAAACTGGACAGGTAAGAATAATAATACACATGTAAAACATACATACAAAAAAAAAATAAATAAAAACATGTTAATCTTCTGCATGTTGGGACAGTTGGGGATTTTTAGCTTATGAACAGTTATTGTACCAAAAGTGCAACGGTAGCCTAAAAAAAATTATTGTATCAACAATAATGAAGAAGCATTGACGAGCCTTCTTTGGAGCAAGACAGTTAGACGTGGCAGTGTGTTCTTCATTATCACCAAATCTCAATCACAAAACCCCAGCCTGTTTTGTTAACAAATATCAGTGCCAAAGCACAATTTAGGGCAAACTTCAATCTCATGCCACAGGACTCCACTGACATTCTAAAGAAAACACACTAAGGAGGCATACTATTACACTACTGATGATACCGTTATTAAGAAACATTCATTCCTAGTTTTGTCTCTTTAGGGGATGTACACATATTAAAAAGATAATACCAGCATTAATAAAAATAAGGTGATTTCCCCAGCTGCTCTGCAACAACAGAACTACGGCTGTACTAGACAGGTGTTAATGTGTGAACTGTGTCATTTTACTGCAAAATCTATATATCTAAGTAAATCAAATAATCTTTTAACTTTAAAATCTTGCTGGACATGGTTTAATATTAAAGGCGTTCTAACACAGCCAAGATCCAATATCCTTGTCACTGGAGTATCAACTGCCTCATATTTCTTTATCTGGACATTAGTGTGAGCCACCTTTATAATCTTGATTGAATTCTTGAATTAAACAACAAATAATCTAGTTCCAGTGACCTTTACCTTAAAATTGCCTGCAGGTTTAACATTAAACCCTCAGTCAGTTTGAAGGTCAGTTAATTTTTTGCAGCGGCTGTCTTTTTATTCTATTTTCAATAAAAGTTATTGATTGGGCTAGTATTATTTTTGGTTACCTCATCAGCATTTTCATGTTGATTCTGGCGCATATTACTTGATTACAGAATATTTAGCTTGTTTCCAGTAAGATACTATTTACTATGGTGGCCCTGAGGTGCAAAATACAACATTTCACAAAACAACACAAAAAATAACACAATGAGATTTCAGATTACAAAAAACATAAGGACAACACTGCTGTCTTGTCTTGTGACTGAAGAGAACCCAAATCAATCAAGATCAGGAAATAAAGCTTCACATATTGTATGCAATCTGTGAATGTTGATGCTACTGGACTAATTATAACAGAGTTAGAAAGGATGGAAAAAGACAGACAGGCCTGCTGAAATCATAAGCAGAATGTCAACAAAGAACATTACAGTATTATAATATTCTTGATAACATAGCAAGATATGAAAACGTTTGTACCCTGAAGACAGTCTGAAAGACACAGCTAGGACCAAAAGGAATAAAGAGATTCTTCTGAATCCATGTGAAACCCCATCTGAGACATGTCAAGGATTTATTGTTGCACTTGTTGTACTCTCTTATTTTATTCTGACACTCTGCCCCGAAATCCATCATTACCAGTATAACACCGGGTCCTACTAGTGATGGATACCAAGAAACATACAGTAACATGCCATAGAAAAGAAAGTTTTCTCTTTTTGTCGCTGTGTTTTCTGAAATGATGTGTTTTGCGCCTCAGGGCCACCGTAGTGTATACTGTGTGGAACAGTGCTAAAGAAAGAAAAAAAAAAAAAACCTGTAGCCCCTGATACAGTAAATACAATAAATAGTAAATTCACATCTCAAATAAAAACGGGGAGAAAAAAATGTAAGCAGATGAACTGCAGTGTCTGCCAAGCATGTATCACTGTAGGCTTCCCTTTCTAATACACTGCTGATAATGGAGGCATGTTCATTCAACCAGCCAGCAGAGGCCAAATGCTCATAAATGGTTCAGATTCTGTTCAGAACATACCCACAATGAATTTGTGTTTTTCCAAGGCTAAAAATCAAATGTTATAACCGGGACTACAAAGCTTTGTAAATTGTATCATACAGAGAAAATGGCTTATTGATCCATGCACCAGTTTTAGATTAAAGACGCACACGAAAGGTCAGCCCTGGGCCCTTTCTCCACCACTGCCTCAAGAGGGAGGGACACATTTTCTGAATTAACAAGAAGTGTGTGTGAGTGTTGGTGAGAGTTAGACTGACACAACACAGCCAGAGTGAGTGTGTGTGTGTGTGTGTGTGTGTGTGTGTGTGTGTGTGTGTGTGTGTGTGTGTGTGTGTGTGTATGTACCTTGGTTCAAACTGTCACTTGAACCAAGCTACTCTTTGGGTATTCATTCTGTGTTTGCTCTCTCAAATTGAAAAATTATCGGGAAAATAAAATGGAAGTTCTCTTCCCCTCTCTGAGTGTGTAGTTATCTTGCAGTTCCAGGGCGTGGGAGCAACTCTCTGGAGAGTTAGGCGGGTTGATGAGAGGCCCAGTAGAGAGGGCTGAAGGGGGTTGTCAGAATAAATTGCTTTTAGAACAATTTCCTCTTATGGGATAGAGATCAGAGAATTAGAAATGGCCAACATGGAGGACTGGTCAGTGTTCTCATTAGACTTAGTGTCAGCTAGCCAGTCGCGCAGCCTCCGTGTCAAACCGAACTATAGGCTCTGGTGGATAAAACCCACAGCCACGTCCCAATAACAAGAAAATCTCATACTTTTATAATGAAAAGTAAGAAAAGATTTCAGGGGGATTGCTGTGTAATCAAATCTAGCGTTTTCTCCCATTTCACATCCCCTGAAGATTTACAACAATTTACATCAAAAACAAAGATACAGAAGTCATGTACCTGGGACCTGAAGGCCTGCAGCTCTGCTTGGAGTTCACCTATTATTTCTTCACACTTCCCCAGTTGAGCTTGTGTCTCCTGTCTGCTTAGAAGCTCCTCATCAAACTTAAAAAAAGACACACATATCCAAAGTAACCATACAAACAAACACTGTTATTGGATTCGTGTAACTAGAAATTAACATAAGCATTAATCATTAAAATTGTTTAAGTCTAATGGTGCAATTATTTTATTTAATTGACATCAATTTTATCTTGATTATCTTAATTTGATTATCTGATTGGATTTTGACCTTCTGTCAAACACCCATTCATTAAAAAAAAACTTAAGTACCCTACACATGCCAATCAGTGAGCCCGTCCTTCTAATCAGAATCTACAACCTGCTGCTTCCCCGACTTCACTTAGTCACAGCAGCCAATTCATTTGACCTCATACATATCACAAGCATGTGTGTGTCTATGTGTTGACAATGACCAAAATAAAAAAACTCCACTGTTTTGCTGTGGGACAACACATTTCCAAACATCTCAGCTGTGCATGGACCTAATTATATTGGCTGAAGACGTAGCACACATCAACAGAAGGCAGGAAACTTAACATTTATCTAAAACGATATGGCAAGAACAAGTTTTGCTATATAAATCGCTCTCGCACTGAAAAATCCAGTCAAATGTATGATTCTCTACCTTGCATTACTAAAATGCATGTTTTGATTGTCATATGGAATTTCACAACTGCATTGCTAATCAAGCTAATTATTATTTTATAGCAAGATGCCACATTTTGCACAGTTTAAAAGTTTTTTTTTAATCATTGAGCCTTTTAAATCTGTCATTTTCTTCTAAGTGATGACTGTAAATTTAAACTCTTTGGCTCTCGCTATTGCTTTGATCCTGCGTTATTTTGTTAGAACAAGCACACAGGAATTGAGAGCATTATATCTGCTTCAAAGTGTTCTTTTTTTTTATTTAAACATTATTTATTACTTTATTACTTATTTTATTAAAGAAATTAGAATGAAGGCCAACATGTTTTAGTGGGTTTTGTTTTTGGCAGGTGGTGAAGTGGATATAGTAAAATGAAAAGTTGTTTATCATCAATACTTGCCTTCTGTTCCAGGTCTGAGGCTCTCTTTTCATACTCATCAATTTGAGCTTTATCCACACAAACTTCTGAAAATCACAAAACAGAATGAAATTGATTTGTGCTTTATTGAACTACAATATCTGTAATGTAAATGAGCTATATGTATTTACGTATCTTTACAGCTATACTGCCAGAAGAGTGTGACTTGCCTAAGAGGTGAGTGAAGTCAACGTCAAGGCGCTTGCGATAACTGAAGTCTGGGTCAGTGCCACTGCGGTGAAGCACAATCTGAGACACACATTCGTCAATGATCTTAAAATACTGGGGCCTGGGAGTAAGGAAAAATGACAAGAAATTCAAGAGAGGCAGTGAGAAAAAAAAAAAACATCACAGAAACAAGCATCATTATAATCCATTTGGTTTCGAACATAATTGTGTACAGATTTATACAAGAACTGTTAATTGAGCAGATTCAGATGTTAAAGAAACCGAACTGTGTGCAGGAAAATATTTTGTAAGGAAAATATTCCAGATCCCAAAAACGTCTACACTTAGCCCTATGCAGCCAGACAGAGTCACTGCATAATGGCTATCAGAGAGTCTAAATGTAACAGAAGGCTCCAGGTCAGGGCTTTACTTACCATCATAATGTAAATGTGAGACAAAACTCAGCTCCAATACTTGTCAAATGCAAAATACACTACTGTGAATGTATACACATTTTCGAAGTGTATCTACATATCAATCACTGCACTCAAGCACTAAAAGCTACTAGCCTGCGCCTGCAGTTCACATGTCGAAGTGTACTTGGGCAAGACACTGAACCCCTCCGTTGCCCCCAATGGTTAGAGCCATCGGTTGAGTTGACGCCACAGATGGCTGCCTCGGTTCTGTACCGGAAACAAATTCCTTGTGTGTAACATACTTGGCCAATAAAGGTGATTATCCTTAGCAACCTCATTCCAAGAGATCAATATAACAGTTGTAACAGCTGTTATATTATTCCATTGATTATAAATATTTTTATTAATTCAAGCATAGCATAAGCCATAAAATGTGAGCGTGGCCATCCCAGTTGACAGATTCAAATTAATTATTCAACCAAGAGTCTAAATCCTAAAGATTTTCAAGTTGCCATAAAAACAAAAGAACTGAAAAAAGTAGAAAACCCTCACATTTGACAATCTGGAGTCAATAAAAGTCTGGTATGTCTGTCTGATAAATGACTAAACAAGTCATTTACACAACACAACAATTATCAAATTTGCTGGCTGTTACTTTCTATCAACTAAGTAACAACTGTTCTCTAACCTGAAATTACACTAGTAGATTTTAATCAGCTATAACTATTTTACTAATCTTATTACTTAATAAAGTTAACATCACTGCCATTAGCCTGACTATGTAAAGGTCTTAGGCCCATGTCCAAGAGGAAAGAAGACAAGGAAACAAGGAAAACACATTGTGCTTATACTGCAATACAGAACAAGTTTTTGTATTATAACTATTTAGGCAGTGGTTGTATTGTCATAAACAGCTTTTTTGATACCACAAAGGATGAAATGCCTCTTGAGCCCGACAGTGTCTCTGGGTTGGTTGTGAGTGGTTAACCAGACATGCTAATAGTAGAGAAGACAAATGCGCTGTTTAATTTATTCTGTACACTTTTTGTTTTGTTTTGGTTTTGGAAAGGCAAAAAACAAATAAAAAAGTAAATAAAAAGCCACTGCTCTACAAAATCTTTATAAAGTATTGCTTAAATGGAGCTCCCTATACTGACTGAACGCGAGAAGAAATTCAACGCCCGAGGTTCCTACACAGTCAAAAGTCAGATTGTTTGCTAGTGTGTGTATTTGTCTATTCCATAAATATTGTTATGCTGGTATTAACACTAACTAAATTGACGGCACCAATTCTCGCAGTTACAAAACCACCAATATTAACATTTCAGAATCATTTCAAAGGTAGAAAATTTATCTGAAAAACCAGAGCAGTGTGTCAGACACTTTAGGTGCTGGTTTTGGGTGGGAGAAAAACCACAGGTGATGCATTTTGTATTCTTCAGATTAGAGTTCCATCTTTTGATCAAGCCAGGGTTTAACTCACATGCATCTGTGAGCGAACCAGCATAAAATAAGCCTTTGAAAAGTACCATTAATAGGAGATCAGAAATACTCTGGAGCCATTGTTGCCATAGATGGCTTGCAGATGAAAGAGACAGAATTCCCTTTGTTAGCCAATGTCACAGAGAGATTTAAGGCAGAATTAAAGAGATATCCTCAAGCATGCAGTTGAAGTCAGAAGTTTACACAGACTTGGGTTGAAGTCATTAAAACTGAATTTTTTAACCACTCCACAGATGTTATGTTAACAAACTCTCTTTCTGGTAAGGTAGTTAGGACATGCACTTTATATGACAGTTTCCAACAGTTGTTTACAGTTAGATAATTTTACTTATAACTCACTATAATCACAATTCCAGTGGGGCAGAAGTTTACATGCACTCAGTCAACTGTGCTTTTAAGCAGCCTGAAAATGACGTCATGGCTTTAGAAGCTTCTGATTGCCTAATTGACATCAATTGAGTCAATAGGAGGTGCAGCTGTTGATGTATTTTAAGGCCTACCTTCAGACTCAGTGCTACTTTGTTTGACATCAAGGGAAAATCAAACGAAATCAGCCAAGACCTCAGAAAAAAAATTGTGGACCATCACAAGTCTGGTTCATACTTTAGGAGCAATTTCCAAACATATGAAGGTACCCCTTTAATCTGTACGAACGATACTACAGAAGTATAAACACCAAGGGACAATGTAGCCGCCATACCGTTCAGGAAGGAGACACATTTTGTCTTCTAGAGATGAACGTACTTTGGTCCAAACAGTACTAATCCATCCCAAAACAACAACGAAGGACCTCGTGAAGACGCTGGAGGAAACGGGTACTAAAGTATCTGTATCCACAGTAAAACAAGTCGTATATCGACATAACCTGAAAGGCTGCTCAGCAAAGAAGAAGCCACCGCTCCAAGACCACCATAAAAAAAGGAAGACTGTGGTTTGCAGCTGCACACAGGGACAAAGATCTGACTCTTTGGAGAAATGTCTTCTGGTCTGATGAAACAAAAATTGAACCGTTTGGCCAAAATGACCATCATTATGTTTGGAGGAAAAAGGAGGAAGCTTGAAAGCAGAAGAACAGCATCCCAACTGTGAAGCATGGGGGTGTCAGCATCATGTTGTGGGGGCGCTTTGTTGAAGGAGGGACTGCAGCACTTCACAAAATAAATCAAATCATGAGGAAGGAGGATTATGTGGGTATATTGAAGCAACATCTCAAGACATCAACCAGGAAGTTAAAGCTTGGTCACAGATGGGTCATGTCCAAATGGACAATGACCCCAAGCAGACTTCCAAAGTTGTGGCAAAATGGCTTAGGGACAACAAAGTCAAGGTATTGGAGTGGCCATCACAAAGCCCTGACCTCAGTTCAATAGAACATTTGTGGGTACAACTGAAAAAGTGTGTGTGAGCAGGTTGTGAGGAGA